TCATCTTCCTTGTCATTCGTTTTGTCTTCCTTGCTTCTTCTTCCATTATTTGTTCATTCTATTCTTCTTTTCTTGTTGACCTCCCTCCCTTACCATTCGCTTTTCTTGCCATTCGTCTTGTTTTCTTGCTTCTTCTTTTCTTGTTGGCCTCCCTCACCATTCTTTTGCCGTTTTTCTTTTTTCCTTGCCATTTGCTTCTCCCGTTGTTTGTTTGCTTTATTTCTTTGTTTGCCTCCCTTGCCATTCATTTTCTTTTTTCTTTGTTCACCTCCTTATTATTCTCTTACCATTCGTCTTTTTTTTTCACTATTCATCTTCCTTTTTCACTATTTGCTTTCCTTGTTCGTCTTGTCTTCTTTTTTTCTTCTGTTATTCATTCATTTTATTTTTCTTTCCTTGTTGGCTTCTCTCATCATTCGTTTTTCTTGCCGTTCGTCTTGTCTTTCTTGTTGATCTCTCTCACTATTCACTTTTCTTGTCATTCGTCTTGTTTTCCTTGTTGACCTCCCTTACCATTCTCTTGCCATTTTCCTTTCTTCTTTACCTTTCGCCTTCTCTGCCATTCACCTCCTTCACTCTTTATCTATTTAATTAGATGGATATTGAAGCAAGTTAAAGCAAGACAGATTATATAAGACTTAAAGATGAGTGTACTTCAAGCGATTCAATTTATTATTGAAAGTTGGAATGAAATTACCATCAAAACAATTTATAATTGTTGATGCCATATGAAGATCTTTTCTATTAATGAAAATAATAACGATATTGATAATTATGACAATAATAACAATGATTATGATGATAATAATAATGAGCTTAATGAATTTACTGAGATAATTAATACTCTTTGTCTTTCTCAAGCAATGAAAATCGATGAATTTTTAATCATTCCTAATGAAAATATTATCTATGAGATTTCTAACAATAATGAAGTTATTACAGAACTTGCAAATGTATTTAGAAAGGAAAAAAATGAAAATTTGGATGAAATGGATAATAGCATTGAAACAACCGTTATTAGTACTAATATTTCATTAAAAAATTTAGAAAATATTCATACATTTTTACTTCAACAAGAAGGGACAGAAAAAGAATTAAGATTAGTAAATAGTCTTGAAAAATTTGTAAAAAAAAAAAAATTAGTTTAATACAATAGACTATATAAATGAGTATTTTAATTAGAAATATTTATATATATTGATATATATAAAATATAATAAAATATAATTTTTTTTTTTGCACCTCTTTAAATGCATACTCTCTTTAAATGCATACTCTCTTTAAATACACACTCATGGTTGGTCCCAAGGGGTATGCATTTAATAATATTGCCCAACTTGGAACCAAGCTTAATAATACATTTAAAGAGGGTATGTATTTCGAGAGGATATATTTAGAGAGGGTTCTCTGTAGTTATATATTTATTTTATTTAATATTATATATCGTTTCCTACAATAAATTATCAAAAATTGATTTTATAAAATATGTACATTAATATTTTTTGGAGTTTTTTACCTATTATAAATAAAAACATGGTAATTATAACAAATCAAAATATTTTGTTATTTTTTTCTTATCAATATATGTAAAAATGAACTAATAACTAAACAATGTAAATAAATTATTGATATATTTTTTGGCAATATGACATTACAAAAAATTTCAGACAAACTGGACATTCCTGTTACAATAGTATATGATACAATCAAGCAATACAAAAAAACTGGTTCTGCAATATCTGTAAAACATTCTGGTTGGCTGAAAACTTTTCTAAATATGATAGTCACATATTACAGCATATTATTTGTAAGAATCAGTTTGCTCCTCTTGATGAAATAACAAATTAACTAAATATAAGGCTTGACATCACATTTAATATTAATACAATTAGAAATTATCTTTATAATAAAAGTTTTTATAGTTATATTGCTTATAAAAAATCCCTTCTAAATAAAAAATTAAAAAAAATAAAAATAGTAAAGAAAAAATTATTTGAAATAGAGAATAGAAACATGTAATATAATCAGATGAATCTAGATTTGCTCTTTTTGAATTAAATAGTTGGGTACAGATATAGAGAAAGTCTAATAAAGTATATAAAGAGAATTGTAGTGATGTTTTGGAATTGTTTTGATTGGAATGATATTGGACCTTTAATTATAATAGATAAAACTATGAATTCTGATATTATATTAATGTTCTTAATTCTTTAATACCATGGATTCAAAATCGTTCTAATACTATATTTCAACAAGATAAAGCTCTGTGTCATATTTCTTTATATACTTTTTGATAGCTGTCAACATATAATATTCCACTTTTAGATTGAATAATGCAAAGCCTGGATCTTAACCCAATCAAAAACTTATAATATCATTTAAATTATCAAATATAAAAAGAATTCCTTCCTCTAAATCAAAACAAAAATTGATAAATATTATACAAGATAAATATATATTAATACAATAATCAAAATCAAAAATGAATATACAAAATATTAATTTTTGGACTGTTAAAATTTTTAAATAGTAAATTAAAGTATTGACATTTTATTTTATTTGGTTTTTTTTTAACTTAATAAATATAAAAGAAACTTTAAATAATGACAAAAAAAAATTTTTTTTGTAACATTATACAATCTTAATAATTAATAAATAATTTTTATATTATATATTTGGTTTATATAGTTTTATATAGTTATAAAAACAGAAGAAATTCAATATTAATATATATTTTTTAATAAATACTTTAAAAGTAACCAATATTTAATTAATATAAATTATCAAATAAAAAGTTTTTAATAGTCAAATAAAATATGATTTCAATATTTTCCAATAAATATTTTAAAAGGGCAAGCAAAAGAGAATAAATACAAACACAAAAAGAAAAAAAAGAAAATATTAAGTATATAATGGAATGGTTGAACAGAGAAGAAAAAGAAAAAAATAGAATCGAACAAATGGAGCAAGGTAGGCTTGGATAGCAAGTATAGTGACAGGCTATACCAGATGGTCAATAGTATCTGTAGATAGATTTTAGTTAATATAAAATAATATAGTTTAAACTTTATATATTGTTATACTTGATTTTTACCTAATGATCTTCATTGTCCCTTGTTCAATTTTAGTAGCATTTATTCTTGTAATATTGTCCATTTTAGAATAATCTTGTATTACAGATCTGTTACTACACTTTTGATATATATTGCATATATTGCATATTTACCATTTCTAGAATATTCCTATTTTATTTCATCTTTACTTTTTATATTATCTTCGTCAAAGTATTTATCTATGTAACTGATAGCATAGTTAAATATTTTGACGAAAAAAAAAATAGTATCTATACCTTAGCTTATATCTTTACCATAGCATATACTTATCATGTACTAAATTATATATTAAAAAAATATATATAAATGCCTCCAATTCCTCCTAGAATTGCAAGGTTGAACTTTCCTCTTTATTAATAAAATAACTTGACCTTTACAAAATAAATCACCATTTCCTCTTTCGTTTGACCTCATACACCTCAGAACTGTACTAATTTTAGTACACCCTTATGAACTTTAGCATATCACATTGGTTTATCCATACAATGTATCTCCCTGCTATTAGTTCTCTGTCCATATCTTTCTCCTGAGGTAGAAAGATATATGACAAATTGGTGGTGACTGTGAGATGTGCCTTATCCATTAGATGCAAGTTTGACAATCAGGTCTCAAAAATGGAATGCTCTTTGATTGTCACCCCTGAAAAATTGCCTCCGAGGAAGTTCAATTTTTAAAGGAGCAATGAAAATGATGTTGTGTCCGCGACAATCGAAAAAACAAAGATTAATTCCGCTTCAACGACAATGCCCAAGAAGAATTCGGCTGCTGGTATATACTGAATAGAGGAAGAAGCATCGTCCTGACCTAAAAGAAGTCCCAATCCAACGATAGAAGCTTCGGAATGGCTTGTGCAGAAGAAAAGAGAAGCCTAAAGAATAACGATTACAGGATCGGTGGTATATGCACCTTCCCCCTAAAAAATTAAATTAAAAAAAAAATAATAATAAATGTATAAACGACACTGCATGCCGCCCCAAAGAAGAAACAAGACTGAACCAAGAAGATTCTTACTTCTCAATAAGTTGTAAGCCCTGAGGATATTGCCGGAATGCTGAAGGCACGGTATCGAGGCCCTGGATGAAACAGTAGAGGATCGGATAGATGAGCTGCAGGAAAAATAAAAAAAAAAAGTAAAGTAAAGAGAGACTATAAATTTTACCTAGTGGCAACGGCTACTGTAATTTTTACTGGTGTCAATCTCTATTTATTAACCTCCAAATCACAAAAACCCAAAATGCACCGCTCGAAGAGGAGCAAGTCTTTGAGACAAGCAAGGACAACTGAATCCAGGCTCTTATAAAGTAAAAGACAGGAGTATCAAAAGCAGAAAAGAAGCTGAAGAATTTGAAAGATATAGTATCGAATGAATTAATGACTTGCCAAAAGAGAGATGCGATATAGCATCATAACAACTCAAAACAGAGGAAACGTCACATATGGCCAGCTTACCTTCGACGAATATTCATCCCAATGGTAATGCCGGGCTGCAGAGTATTTGTAAAGAAACTAATCCTATCGCAGAAGGAGAAGTTGCGATGCCGAAAGAAGCTCCAGACGAGTACCTAGAGAAAGGAGGACCGTCTGAGGAGAGAATGGCGAAAAACCAAAGGCAAAAAATTAAAACTTACCGATGAGACTCTGGTAGCTAAGCCAGGAACATTGATATCACCGAGGGTCAAGGAGAACCTGCGAATGGCGAATCGGACGTCGAGAGCACGAGGCTAAGGATAGAATGGTAAGAGAGTTAGAAGCCAATAGTAGAACCCGTAAAAGAAAGAAAATGCCGCAACGTACCTGTAACTTACCAAGAGTGATGAAATGCTAGGATGTTGTCATAATTGTGATCACGATCGCACATTGTATATGCTTTATTCTCCACAGAATGTAATGACCAGTCCATCTCATTATATTATTACTATCTGTACCATCCACACCAGTTATGCCTCTTCCAAGTATTCCGAGCATTCAACCATCGACATCTGGATCGAATTTGACAACACCAAATATTATCACAATAAGTGGAGAAAACTTCACGTGAGATCTGATAATATAGTTTGGAGATATTCAAAGTCCAAAGATCAAATTTAGATCCAAGGAATGCATGGTATACTTATTGCCTAAAGAGCTGATGTATAAAATGGAATATCAAAATAATATCAAGCGAGACATCAACCTTCAGTCTCAATATCTTCAACTTCTCTCCAACGGAAGGGTCGGTGTAGCCAAAAGACCTATTTGTTAAGTCATAGTGATGGAGTTGTGAAAAGTGTGATCGTGATCTAGCTTCTTATAATTGTGTGTTTTATTTACAAAAAATAATAATGGATAAATATTGAACCTACCAAGATCAAGCGGGAGAGCCCGGAGAAACAGGAACTGAATCCTGAAATACCGATTGTTGATGATGACATAGAGGACGGAGAAATTGATCCAAATTCAGAAGAATCCACACCGCGAATATCTTATTCTTTGATTCTAGAAAAAAGGGATCGACCAAGCAAAAGTAAATATTCAATTGTCAAGAGAAGTCGAAGTCGTGATTGAAGTCCAACTAGCTATCGCAGCTGGCACCATAAGTCTTCTTGGAACCAAGAACGTGGGTATGAAAGCAGTTATAAACATGATTGCGATGTAAATTATTCTTATAGCCATGATCAAAATCAAAATAAAGAAAACGCTTATAACAAGGAACGGGATTCTGTTCATGGTTGGGATTGCCGGAAAAACCGAATTCACCCGTAACAATGTTGAGAATAATACTACCTAAAAGGTATATCCACGTCATAGTCGAACCACCCGTATCAATCACCACTTCGAGTCTTGAACAGGAATTGCTTGACCGAATCGCGTCATTGGAGGCATCGATTAACAAGTCTGTCCATGAGTTTGACATTATATATTAATGGCTAAAGATATCATGACGACGAGACATTCGGGTATCCAGTACCATCAACTGACGAAGACAAGACAAGAGAGAAAGCTTACAGAAAAGCTTACCACCGATGAACCAACCAACGATGCCACATCAAGACCTACAAAATACATGGTTAGTATACACTTTGACGTCAAAACCCCACTAGCATATACACATATCTACATGTCTTAATCTTGCCCACAAAATCTTACCCCACCATAATGGAATCATTGTTGTGATGAAATCCCTGTCCTTTTATAAAAAAAAAAATATAAAAGACAAAAGCGAAGTTAATAATTATCTTATCCCTTTTAATTATCCTTACCCTTTTTACAATTCCTTTATAATTCCTTCATTATTTCTTTGATTATCTCTTATATTCTATTAGCATTTAGTAACACACATATCATTTTATTTCTTTATTTCTTTTGATTTGGAAAAATATTATTATTTTGCTTTGGTAATTTCATAAAGCCATTATATAGCTATAGATGACCTTAATTCTTAGGAATCCATAACATATGCTGGTTAAAGACTAATCAGTCATGAAGCGCAAAATTGTAGCAGGATGATGTTTGAGGCTATAGCATTTTATAAAATTATCAAAGTGATTAATATTATTCTTTCAACTTATTTTATACTTAAATTTTTTTATTTTATTTTATAATTTTTATAATTTTTATCTTTTACAACTTATCAAAAAACATTTAAAATCTATATACTTCTATTATGTCTATTGATATAATGCTTATTTCTCAATACCACCCTATACCCTTGCATTAATCTTGCCAAATATCTATACTCCTGAATCAACTGATATATATTTCTTCTTAAAGATTGGTTTCTCCTATAAAACCTAAATCCCCTTAAGCACTATTGAATATCTCTATTGAATTGATTATGATCATTAGAGGCTTTTTGTAAAATACTTAAGTCATGTTTCAAACTGATACACTGGTCACAAACAGGAGGAGCATGAGATTCAACAGGAGCAGAAGCAGAACTTTCAACAGGATTAGAAATAGAAGCAGAGGAAGCAGCAGGAGGAACTATTTGACGAACACGAAAAGGATGACGAATAGTAGCCATAAAACTTGCATGAGAGGAAGGAAGGAAGACCCACCCACTATGATGATTGACATGACCACCACGACGACCAGCATGATGAGAAGTATTGTTGGCAGACATAATCTAAAAAGCTAAAGTGAGGAAAAAAGGGAGAAAAATCAGTATCCAATATTAAAAATAAAAGAGGTCAAATATAAGGAAGCAAATTGACAAGTTATCCTTGAATATATGAATCCTCTTTATGACAGACAGGCTCAGTGATCAGCTGGCAGCGAATTAATACCAAAGCAGAGGAAACAACTTAATAATGAAATATATACATATATTCAATTTATAAAAACAAATTGAAATAACTCGTCTAATGAAGAGGGATAATTCAAAAAATTGAATATCTTGGAAAACAACAAGCAAAAATCTTTGAAAATAATAATTAAATTTTCACTTGGAAAGTTTAACAATATTTGAACAAAAATCAATTCTTAAATATTAAATTATTTGAGAAACTGATGGAAACAAAAAGATCTTTTAGCCACTATAAATCTGCAACTTGAAATTCATCCTCACCACTGAATACCATTTAAGGAAAACAAGCATATGAACAAACTTGAATGGATTGACCTAAAATAACTAGAAGAGATAATTATTTAACATATAAAATCTGGATGAATGACATAAGGAAAACTTGATTAACAACTAATAAAGGAAAAATTGTATAGAAAACTATGGGAAAAACTTTGTTTAGTATTGGAGGTATTTACAGTGACAGACAGTCTGTAATTCGTGAATCCAAAGTCTAACAAAGAGAATATTAGTAGTGGATACAAAAGTAATATTGAACATATAAGTCTTGAATCACATGGCAAGTATAGTAAATCTTGCTAAGCATTGTTAATATTTAAGTATCAGCTATACAATTATAGAAATTGATTATCAGGACAACATATCAATAAAATTTCCAATTTGAGAATAGTATGGGAAACTTATTCACATGAATTTATCTTTCCTAATTCAACAATTTGCTTATAGAACTCGCAGATTAGTGGAAGAGAATTGTTATATTTGATTTTTACCTAATGATCTTCATTGTTTCTTGTTCAATTTTAGTAGCATTTACCCTTGTAATATTGTTCATTCTAGAATAATCTTGTATTACAGATCTGTTACTATACTTTCGGCACATATTGCACATATTGCACATTTACCATTTCTAGAATATTCCTATTTTATTTTATCTTTACTCTTTATATTATCTTCGCTAAAGTATTTATCTATGTAACTGATAGTATAATTGAATATTCTGATGAAAATAGTATCTATACCTTAGCTTATATCTTTACCATAACATATACTTATCATGTACTAAATTATATACTAAAAATATGTATATAAATGCCTCCAATTCTTTCTAGAATTGCAAGGTTGAACTTTCTTCTTTATTAATAAAATAACTTGACCTTTACAAAATAAATCACCATTGCCTCTTTCACTTGACCTCATATACCTCAGAACTGTACTAATTTTAGTACACCCTTATGAACTTTAGCATACTACATTGGTTCATCCATACAAAGTGTCTCCCTGCTATTAGTTCTCTGTTCATATTTTTCTCTTGAGGTAGGAAGATATATGACAATATATAATCATATATAAAAAACTATATATATTAATAAACTAGAATAAAGTCTCATTTTAGTCATTTTAAAAAATAAATAAATAAATAAATATTTTAAAGAAATTTAATTGGTTTAGTCTATTAAATTTTTTAAAAAAACAATTAGAATATAACTTTTATTTTTTTTTATTTTTTTTTTCTATAGTTAAACAAGCACATACTGTTTATTAAATCTTTTAAAAAACAAATAATATGTAATATATTGTATTGCATAAACTATTCTATTGATTTGAACACCCATCTTAGACAAATGTCTTTAGATATGACTTTGGAGATAAAAAAGATTGCTCTCTTTTTTATTTACTTACCTATGGAGTTTGATATTAAAGGTTATTGCCTGCAGTTTATCACTACAGTTCATCTAAGCAAAATCTAGACTACTTTTATAATTTCAATCATTTTTTTCCTTCTTTAATTCATTTCCATATCAATACTTTGTTTTGAACTTGACCTAGGAAGGACTCTTTTATATTGGTGTCTTGTAAGGTTTCAGAGATTGTGTTCATCATCACTTCTTATACTTTTTTTCCCTTGCCTTTAGATTTCTTCTTTCTTTCTTTTCTTGTCCCATTATCATCTCTATCTCCTTGTTTATGTGTTTTTAATTTCCTTTCTAAGTCTTGCAACCTGATGCATCAGTCATTCCATATCTTTTTCCAAACTTGTTTACAGATAGTTCTAGAAAACTTGTTCAGTAAGTGTTTTGCTTTCTCCATTTCTATTTTCATTTCTCTTAATAATTGAGTCCATTTCTTAATGTCTTCTTTTCAGAACAGTCCTAAACAAAGATCTATAATGTCCTTTCCTAAGGAATACTTGCTTTTGTACCATTTCTCTAAAAGTTTCAAAAGGGTATTATGCTTATTTTGAACTTCTTCTTTGTACATTGTTTTTAATCACCTGCTGGATATCTGATCTAAAGTTTCATTCTATATTTCTTCCCAAAGTTTAATTGTGTGTATGCAAGAGAAAAGATGTACAAGAGATTCTTTTTCTTGTCTATAGTAGATACATTCAGTTAGATCTTTGTATTTCTCAGGGAATCTCTTACTCATATTATCCAGTGTTGGAAGTTCATTATATATTATCTTTATATAGAAAGCTTTTTTTTTGATCTGCTTCATTGATGTTTTTAGGAATCCTCCTACTCTGTTCATTTCTCAAAAGCTTCTCCAGTCAAAATTCTCTTGGTTGTCTATTTCACTAAACCATCTTTTCCATATGTGATTCTGGTTAGCCCATTTTGTTAGTATGCTTCTTTTGTATATTTCTTTAATAAAGTTTCTTATCTCTATATCGATAGAAATTCCATTCCAGCCAAGTGTTGTTAGAGCTTCTTGTTGGTACCAATTAGTTCAAATAATTTCTGATTCTTCTCTAGCTTCTTTAGCAAGGAGATCTACCTTATTGTTGACCTTGGTTATTTGAATTGTAATCTGCTTTTTATATATTAGATCAATACATCTTGTTCATAATTGCCAGTTTTTCTATTTTCTATTTTTTTTTTCAATATCTCTGATATGGGGATTCTGTGATTTTTGAAAAGTATTAATACAGATAACACTGTCTGTTCTTATTTCTACTTGACTTTTTTGGGATAGAACAAGAAGTGCTAGGATAATCGCAATGAGTTTTGCTCAAAATACTGATGGCCAATTATTAAATCCTGTTTGAAAGAAACTGCCTGGATTTGGTTCTTGTTCTTGTAACCAGGCTGCACCTATTTTTATTGTTTGGTCTCTGGCTTTTCCATGTAATCCATCTATATAAAAGCAATATGGTTGTTGAAAATTGCTGTTTTTGTTGATTTTATATTCTTCTATAAGGACTTGTGAGTATTCTGATGAGAGAATATATTCTTTGATTATTTGGACTCCAAATCTTCTATCTTAACTATCACCAGGCAATTGTCAGTAATCCCTCGTTCTATAGGATATTCCAACTTCTTCCTGGCTTGATTCTCTATTACATATATACTAAGGGGAATTTCAGGTTCTAATGCTCTTTTAAGAATTAAATACTGGTTTAAAATTTTTACAGATAGGGGCTTGATCTTTGATCTTTTGTTGCTCCGAAAGCATTTAACCAATTCAATGAGTTTTCTTGATAACCATTGGAATTTGTTTAGGAAGCACTTATAATCTTCTATAATTTTGTTGAGTTCAGTTTGGAGCTTATTTTGAGCTTATAGATTTTTGCTTGAGAGGTTTGATAATCTAAGTTCTCTTTACTTTTGTACCAAATAATTTGATTGTTTTTCCCTTTAATTTGTGAGATTTTCCAATTCCAGCGACAGTGATCTTTGTTTAGGCTACTCAAAAAGAATTTTCTTTTTGATCTTCCCAATTCCAATTCTGTCATTCTTTCTTGATAACATCATATTCATTGGCAAGCATTAACCTTAGTATTTTGAACTATAAGGATACTGGTCCTTTATTAGTATTGGCAAATGTTTGTACAATTTTTCAAGGAAGCATTTTTTTGATGTTTTTATCAATAAGCAGATATTCAAATATAATTTTGTATTTTCTTAAAGATAGAATTGTCTTGTAAT